ACGGCGATTTTCTAGATTGTTGGAAATTCGATTTTCTATAAACTGGAAAATCCCCACGGAATTCCCATATGTACTCTTTGAAATTCGCCGAGCATTTTCCATAAATAATTTCCAACCTTACAGTGTATGGATTGAGCAGCGAGGATAAATCACACTATAGCAAATGTACAGGATGGAGATGAGAACACCTAAGAGTTCACTTTTGGACAATTTAGTCCAAAAGTAAATTCTTTGCATTTGAATCAAAGTTGTTCGATTCTATCAACTGTGTAGTGTTCTTTTGTGCTTTGCTACCTTCTGTTCTATCCTTATCTCTCTCAATCAATCAAAAAAAAAAGTTTCAAATTTATTATTCTTATAAAAACTGCTCCACATCTACTCTTCTACATGGAGGAAAAGCGGGGTTCTCTAGCTACTCTTTATTCAAAGTTCCTCAAAAAATCACTGAGTGAATTGCTTTTTGTGAACAAACAATAGTTATAGATACGACTTTTCCTACTGTTACCTTATTGTATTAACGTTACGTACGAAGAAGAATTTGAGGAACAAATAATTTCAAAAACGAATTGAGCTTTTCCAGTGACGAATACATTTTTATAGATGCTTTCGATAGATGATTTGAGTGAACTAGCGTCCAAACATCGCTTTTCAGTTGTTTGAACATGCAACAATTCCTTAATAAACATGTTACCTTACTTTCCTGGATAAATTATCTGGAAATTATCCTGGATAATTATTATTAAATGCACTAATCTTTCTTAACAAAGCGCTCTGTCTTCAGAATAAAGACTTCTTCTGTGCAATTTATTGCTTAAATAACTAAAAAGTCCAGAATACCGTAATTTACTTCTCTTGTTAATAGATAGATTTAGATTCTTCTTTAATCTGTAGACAACATGTGTCTTTCAACATAATTTAGTAGTGCATGTTGTGTTTCAATATAAGATCTATTTATGTATATTTTATAGTCTGGACACATCAGATTAAGGAAGGTTACATTCTATAAGGTAACACCAACTATCTAGGTGTAAATAGTCTCATCTTCGTTTTCATTTTTTTTGTTTCTTTTTTTGTACACACACACACGTTCGTTTTATTGTCCAATATTTAGAATAGATATTTTTGGAATAGATAAAAGGGTATACATGCAAACATTATATGTCAGGTGTACAGATCAACATATACACTTACTTGTATACTTTTTTGTGGAGTAAATCATTTGTTTTCTATTGACTTAAGGTGGGTGTTTTCATATAAAAAAAATCACATTTTGTTATTTCGATTATGGGTAATTATCAAACACCTAGAATGAGTCTCTTTGAGTCGGATTCATCTTCTCCATCTGCATCCCATGTCTCCGTGTTGACAACAACTTCATTATCTCATGACTGCCGACGAAAACGATCAGTCATTGATCAACGACGTCGACGTCATTCATTCATTACAACAACTCCGTCAACTTCATCAGTTAAAACTTTCACCGTTAAAAATCATGTATTTGATCCCGTATCAGACACACAATCAACAACATCAACAACTGTTATTTCAACATTATCGTTATCAAATAGTATCTTAAAAGATAAGATTAACAATGAGCAAACACTAACACTAACAAAAACCACAAACACAACGGTCCGTTCAATCTATGATTTATTAATAACAGATAATAGTCAATCCAGTATGTTTTAAATTTCGTTTTCCATACATGTTTTTCTAGAGCAAGATGACGTTGACGATACTGGAGTGCGTTGTGTGTGTATTGCAGATTATAAGACTATTACATTTTTAGAATCATCAACTCTCAGAAGTTGTCTGAGATTGTTACTTTTGTAAGAGAATGTCGTAGTACTTTTTGTTACTTGATGTAACCTTTCAACATAAGCAGATGTGAATGAGTCGAACACCTTCTTTGTTCCTACATAATGGGCTTTTTTATGTGAATGTATGCATTTGCACGAACATAGTACACTAGAAATCCGTACTGTTCTAGTTGATCACGTGATAAAATTCTGTGCGATCAATTTGACCATCTAAGATCAATTTCAAACATGTTCGTCCAGTGTAGTTTTTTTCTCTTAACAAATCTCTAATACCAATATTGATTTATTCTGTTTTTAATTTTAGCAAAATTTATTCCACCATGTGAGTTTTCTGTCTATAAATTACATGATATATGGAATCAAAAACATGCAAATGATGATTTAGAATTTGCTGTGGAGTTTAAGGTATGTTTGACTATTGTCAGAATCGAAAAAGAACTGAAATCTTGTTGTTTCTAGAGTATTCCAAATGATGAATTACCATGTTTAGCAGCCACACGACAAATTGTTGCATCAAAAAACAGATTTTTAAATATATTACCAAGTGAGTAGAGATAATTTGTTGATTACGTCAACATTGTATTTACTTTTTTCTATTTTTGTAGTTGATGCAACGCGAGTAATATTAAGTGTATTAACTAATGATCCAGCTACTGATTATATAAATGCTAATTATATATCAGGTTACAAGTGTCCCAAAAAGTATATTGCTACACAAGGTAATGGATACTTGTTTAACTAATGGGAAAAAATTATACTTGTTTTTCTCACCACACAGGTCCTAAACCAGATACAACGGAAGATTTCTGGAGAATGATCTGGGAATTCAAGCTAAAATCAATTGTTATGTTAACAAATGTTATCGAAGGAGCATCCCGAATGGCAAAATGTCATCAGTATTGGCCAGAAATTGGTTGTACGAATGTTTATGGATCTTATCGAGTGACAGGAGTTGATTCAGTATCATCAAGAGATTATAATAAACGATATTTTAAACTATCGAAGGTATGTTACAATAGTTTATAATCAATTTGTGCGCTTGTTTTCACCTTTCAAAAAGTGTATCAAGATTTAAATACCTTTTAATCGTATTGTATTAATCTTGTATAATTATAGTGAGTGACTCAAATACATTGTGAAATAGTTTTATTTAGTAATTAAGATAGATATTAGAAAAAGAATATCTATTCACACTCCTATTTTTTAAAATTCTAAATTGTTGAAAAAACGATTTAATAGATCGAGTACGGCTCGCGGTTGATCATGTGGAGCCATATGTCCAGCATTTCTAATTGATGCTAAATAAAAGTCGTGTGCGTGTTTAACATAGCCAGTTATTTCCGGATCACTTTGATTAACTTTCCATATTACTTTTTCGGCTTTTCGGAAATCATCTGCGTATTGCCAAGGTAATTTATTTATCCAATTGAGTGCTGGTGCTTCTGCACATATTAAATCTAATAGTCCATAATAAAGTAATACTTTATAATTATTTGCTAATGTAATCAAGACCGATTTGTTAATACTTTGCATTACATCATTCATTAACATGTTTTCTACCATATTACCCCTGTTAAATGTCATATTTCCTACATGAATTTGTTTTCGTCTCACAGCAGAAGTTATAAATGGAACATAATAACCTAGATCGTCGGGTATTCCTGTCATTAGATAATTGTAGTAGTTACTCAAACCAGTTACATTGTAAAAATAACTTGTCGTATTTATTAAATCACCATCCATCAAAGCGTCAGACAAACGAAAAGCATCCATATATCGATCTTGTTCCATTGCATAACGAATTAAAGCAGTTTGTAGTTGAAAATATGACAATTGATTACTATCGATAAGACCAATCTAAAGAAATAGACCAAAAGACCTTAGCAAAAATAAGTTTTTTCCACTTTCTGATCTTTATTCGTTGAGAAATACATCTTATTCTGATGCCGACTTAAGGAACTAGTTTCCTCTTTTTATGTGTCATCAAATTTAAAGAATATATCTTATCAGTCACTACGATTAAGGGATATTCAAACTGGCGACTGTATATATAAAATCAAATCTCATCAATATCTCTAACCTGAAATAGCAATGGTCCGTACTCATATTGACTGTAAGGATCAGTCCATCCATCTCCAATGCATATTCCTTTTAAATTGATTTTCACTTTTGCTTGAGGATTTTCAACGTGAATCTTATATGATATTGATGGAACATATTTCCCAGCATAGGACTCTCCCGTAATGTAAAATGGACTTGACTGATATTCATAATAAACAAGAAAAAACTGCGTTAATGCTGAATAGAGATCGTTTGCCACATCATCTTCAGATTTTGCATAACCAGCGTCATTATTCGTAAAACTGTATCCAGTTCCCACAGGATTATCAATAAACAATAAATGATAATTAGTATTCCATGTGAATGCTCGACGTTGCACATCACCTTTACTATCAATATAAATTGGTCCGATTTCAGTGAAAAGTGCAAATAATGAATCTGCACCGGGTCCTCCTATTGAAACAAAAGTTTCATTAGTAAAATCCATATCTTCAAGAGATATTACTCTTCTAAATACTGATTATCATGTCGCCAATGCTAACAGAATATCAAAGTTCACAACTTGTTTCATCAAAGTTTAGGATGACGATAGGTACCAGCAAAATGTTTTTTTAATGTCACATATAATAAGTAAGAAAAGTTTTCTGTGAGACAAAAACTCGATTAGTTTTCTGCTGCAATGATGCGTTATATATACCTTGTAACCAGAGTAAAATTGGAGCACTTGCATTACCACTCTGTGCAGGAAAAAACCAAAAGAACATGTTGCTCTTATAGTTTTCGTTGACTGTCAAGTAGCCAGAAAAGGATGGTAATGGGTAAGGTGGTAGTTCGACACTACTTAAGTTACGTGCGTCATCGATCTTGCCAGCTTTAATTAATGGTGTCAAAAATAATGGGTCTCCTGGATCATCGTTGACATTGAGAACAGCCGGTTTTGATTTGGGTAACATTCGACGAAATAGTCCGGCATTCGTGTAATTCGCCCAGTAAACTACAGCTATTACAGCCAATAATATGAATTTCATATCTGAAAAAGAAGGATGTTCTAAAAGTTAAATTACATGTTTAAAGTCAAAGAATAAAGGGATCGAGTATCGCTGATCAGGTGAAAAAACGATTAAACGTAGACGGAAGCACACATGTCTAAAAGGGGTTTACTGCAAGAGTGATTTATCCCTTATGTACGTACTCATTGTTACTTCAAATAGTCTGTCATATTTTTAATTGAAAAATGCTTTGATATATTGGTTACATGAAGAAATTATACACGTTTGTTTACGTACATGTAGAAAGAAATTTTCTTATAAGAAACTAGCAATGTTTTAAACGTAAAAATCGTTCTGTTGTAACACGTGTTGTGTTCTAAATATATACAGCATCTATCGAAAATATAGCTAAAGTTTCTCATAACTTGAATTTTACTTTTACCGCAGGACTTGACACATATGTATCAAATCCTGCGGTAAAAAGTAAAATCCAAGTTATGAGAAACTTTAGTTATATTTTCATATGTCAAGTCCTGCGGTAAAAAGTAAAATTCAAGTTATGAGAAACTTTAGCTATATTTTCGATAGATGCTAACATATTTCTTTTCTTTTATCATATCGCCCAAAAGAACGAACACATCACCATTACATTTCTCTTTCTTTTGTCTTATCATCTCTATACTAAGTAAATATTTCAATGTTTTAGATTCATGCAGATACAGCATCAACGTCATCAATAACTCCCATAGATGCCATATCTTCCTCATCTAGCGTGGAATGTATTAGCGGTGAATTACAGCAACGTCTTATTGTTCAATATCACTATACCCAATGGCCCGATATGGACATTCCTGTCGATGCGCATCCATTAATCAATTTAATCAAAGAAGTCAATGAACAAAATGGAAAAGAAGATTATCCAATTGTTGTTCATTGCAGGTATTTGACTATCACTGCTATAGATTCATGTATTATGTTCTTGATATAATCTTTTTATCAATTCCATTGTACAGGCGTTATAAGTACAATTTAGAGAGCAATAAAAAACTACGATAAAAGATATTGTATTACGTTTTTCAATTGAAAAATAATTTTTCTTCTATTTATCATTAGTGCTGGTGTTGGCCGTACTGGCACATACATAACAATCGATGCAATGATTGATAAAATTGAAAAAGAAGGCAAAATTGATATTTATAATTTTGTTAAGCGTATGAGAAAAGAGCGAAGTTTAATGGTTCAAACAGTGGTGTGTAATAATGACGATTTATTTCTAAAAATTCTAAAGTGTGTGTACATGTTTGATATATTTTAGAGACAATATGTGTTTATTTATCGTGCTATATTAGAATATTATTTATTTGGTTATACTAAAATAGAAGTCAATTTATTTAAACAAAATTTAAATTATCTTAAAAAATTGACAGATCAAAAAACAGAACGAACATTATTACAGCAAGAATTTAATGTGAGTAATGGTAAAAAATTATTGAATGTTTTTTACAATTCCATCTATTTTGTTTTTAGAAACTATCATTGTTACCTATCGAATATACATCTCATCGTGATGCCTTGTTAAGTTGCAATGTTGAGAAGAATCGTAATTCACATTTTGTGCCTTGTACGTGAATATCAATAGTTCTATAGATTTTTTCGTTTATAAATTCGAAATTTATTATTTAGATGATCGTAATCGTGTATGTTTAAGTCGAATATTGGGTCATCCATATATCAATGCATCATTTATCGAAGTAATTTTAATCACATCAGAAGCATGAGAGAGACGAAATTTAAATTTATTTATTTTCCTTATTTAGGGTTATGTAAAAGAATGTTCATTTATAATCACACAAGATCCATTAATAGATACCATTCCAGAATTCTGGAGATTGTTTATTGAACATGAGTCAAATTGTATTGTACAATTACATACATCTTATACAGTTGAGGTAATATAAACTACAAGAAAAGTGAATTTTATTTTTATATTTTGTGTCACATTTTTTAGCCGTCCTGTCCAATATACTACCCGGATGAATTAGGTGTAACAATGAAAATTGGTTCAACAACGTTAATTAAATTAGTTCATAAAGAAATTCTTGAATCTAAAATGATTTTGAGAGAAATTAATTTAACGGATACGAGAGAAGCTCTAGCAAAAACAATTTATCATTTTGAATATTTAATTCAAATAACAAACAATGATAATAGTCAAACATGTATACCAACTACATTAAACGGTATAAATAATCTATTCGACTTTATTGGACAAGTTCGAAAACAACAAAGACTATGTGGAGAAAAATATATCATAGTCCATTGTGGGTAAGTTAGATCGCTAGATTTATCACTCGACATACTTTACTAATTTACATAAATGGTTAAAATAATTTTAATGAAATTTTATATTTTTAGTTATGGTGGTCCATCAACGTCTCTCTTCTGTGCTGCCATTATTCTTGTAGATCAATTAAAAAGTGAACATGCAGTCGATATATTTCAAACAGTAAGAGGTTTACAACGACAGCGAATGAATATGATTACCAACGTGGTGAGTAATTAATAAAATCACAGCATACAACATTAATGTATTGTACATTTTTATTTCTCTATTTTTCAGAGTCAGTACGAATATTTGTATGATTTAATATTAAAATTTCTTGAAGAATCTTTTAATCGTACATTGTGGACAAAATCATCGTTAACAAATAGTACATACGATAATAATACACAAAATGATGTTCAACCATTATCTATATCATCATCAAAAATAAATATAAATCAAGATATTTATTAAACAAATACTATTAGTACCGTCCAAAATACACCATCAAACAATGTATCCATGACATACATTTATTCACCTTCTTTTCCTGAACAATAGAATTTGCATTACACGAGTTTTCTTTTTCTTTTTTTTTTGTTGTCTTAAATATAATCATTTTTTATTTTCTAGTCTTTTGGCCAGATATATTTGTTGTACATTCAACTCTATTTATTTGTTTTCAATTGTTGAAAGCTTTTGTACTGTTTTCTTTCTATCTGAGATATTTATAATAAAATGTTGAGAAATGACTATACGTTTGTGGCTCATTATACTGCTTTATATTCCATCCTTCTAGTCGTTTATTTATACTTTTTTGGATATTCTGCAAGTAAAGACTACATTTCACAAGAAAGAAATGCACTAAATTATTCTTTCAACTATTAATCTCAAAATGTTCTATGTACTAAACTAAGGGCGACTCGCGATTACCTATTAATTAATGAAGAAATAAATCTAAACTGACAATGAATCACATTTCTAATTGTTGCCAGATCAAATCAGAGTCGTCTGTTTTTCAGTTGGAGTCAAATATCAGTTCACTAGAGTCACAGTCCGAGTCAGAAATTTTTTCCCATTCGTTCTTATGATTAATTATTTTGTTTTGTATATTTTTACCGAAATGACACTGTTTGTGTGTTTGGTCTGATGTATTGGTTTTAAAATCCCTCCTAGTTCCGATCGGTTTTTTTATAGCATTTTGTCTGCTTTTGTCAAACCATCGATCTAATATCATTCTAACTTATGTATCTAATGCATTTAAGCAAAGAAATTCAGCCTCAAACAGAAGTGATCATTGTATCAGAACTTATTACTCATATTCGAATAAAAATTTTATCTTGATACGATATTAAAAACAAGAATTTAGTTAATTCATGGATGGAAACTCCAAATTCCAAATCTTCCACTAAACACAAATATTCGGGTATGGTGCATCCCTAGCTGTAGAAGATAAATGTAGGTAAATAAAATTCGAAACATATTTTTATTGCTGAAGGAGAAAACACAAGGTTCTTTCACCGAGATATTTCCGGTTTAAATTAATTACCTACGTAGCTTATGTCATAGCTAGAAGCTAACGGGTTGCAGAAATGTTTCACTCACGTCAGCCAGCTTCCGATTCTTGCAGTAAGCAGTCGGCGTCTAGTTGTCGTTGCCGATTTGAAAATATTTTTAACGACTTTTCAACTACTTATAGACATACGACATGACAAAAATGTTTGCTGTTGTGCACGTGGTTCTTTTTCGTTTTTGTCTTAAGACACTATCCCGGAGGAGATGGAAACATCAGAATAAACGAATCTACTTTTATAAAGCAGGTTTGCATATTGGCAAAGAAATTAATCAAGCGAAACACGCTTTTTTTTCCAAAATATTCTATCACAAAAATTGGAGAAACAGGAAAAGAAAATGCAAAAACAATCATACTTAATGATGCTAAATTCTAATAATTGTTACTGTTATTATTAAATACATACATTATTAATACATTATTCATTGATGATGTTGAAATTGCTAAAATTGAAGTAAGGTTAAAAATACCTCCTGTCGAGAAAAGCTGTTTTTTTAGTTTCAAAAATATTTTCATAGAAAATGGACCTAATATTGATGATCAGCATCGAATTCTACGCCGAATGATGTATAATTCAATAGAATTCGAGGAAAAAATGGTTCGATGCTCCAAGTGGCATAGGGCCGAAAGCTTTTCGAAAAAACCGACTTTCAATTTTTTCGAAAACTTTTCGGTTCTATACCAAAAAAACCGTCATTATGCTCAGAATTGGATGCTGATTCTAACCGTATAGTTTTTCCGACAAAAAGGACGTGGGTCGATAAGGACACTTTGCGTCCCTCAACAAAATACAATGAATTATACATTTTCGGAATCAGCGTCGAATTCTGAACAAAACTGTCGCTTCACTTTTTCGAAAAATTTTAGGGCAAGGGGGGACCAGAGGGAAGTCGGAAAAATGTTTTTCGTCAAAAAAATTGGGGAAAAAGTTTTTCTGGATCAGAATTTTATCCTGATTACGGATCTGATGTTAAAAATTGTGAAATCGTAAGTTTTCACGAAGAAAATCTATTGTACGTCTACAAAATTGACTTTCAAAGATTAACGTGGGTCTGTAACCTTAGAGAAAACTTTGTAGGCTTTGAAATACAATTATTTAGATTCACTGATGTGTCTCCCTTTGAAATTAGTGAATGTAGACACGATCCACTTTAATATAACGGACTGGCTCCACAAAACTTCAAAAAACATAGCAAAAAATAACTCGTTCATCAAAAGTCGACTCTCTCAGTTTTCTCGTTGGTGGATGATCCGCTTGCAAACACACTCTAGCATACTCAATTTTTCACGCTCTTTCCGCTGGTAGTAAAATAAAATTAAAAAAAGATGGCAATTTTTTAAAAAGGGCTCAATTTTTGCCGCTGATGTAAGAAAAACGGCACAAATGAACTTTTTAAGAATCTTTGACATCAGCTACGTATTTTTTTGATCTGAACGCAAGACAGAGCTGTATATCACTGATATCCGTTAGAATTGACATTCTTCCAACAGTTTCGCCAAAGGGTTGTTTTACAATTAATAGCCAAGTGAAAGACTATATGGGCTTTTGCTATAATAATTTTGTTTATGGCAAGGAAAAATGGCCTTATCGTATCTTGTTCTTTAAGTCTTGTTCATCACTTTTTCCTCTTAATGAACTCATTGTAAAAAGTTCAACCAACCTTACTTCTGAACAAATATCAAAAAAATATCAAATGTTTCGCTGGAAGAGATACTGACATAAAGCTGTTTTGAAAGACGTTAGAGAAGAAAGACAAATAACTGACTCTCGAAGATTATTCCAGTCAGCAATAGTTGAATAAAAAAAAGAAGAATACACCATTTGCGGAGAATAACCATCAACAGAAGATGGAATGCGAACATATTTAGAATGATGAAGACGTAAAGATGAGTAGTAAGGACGATGAATAGTATAAAAAAGAGAAACAGGACTTAGACGATGATAAATTTTGAAAAACTGTAGAAGTCTAAAGTATTTACGACGAAGAGTGAGATTTGGAAGAGAAAGTTGAGACACAAGTAGAGAACTAGAAGAACGATAGTCAAAATTACGAGAAATAACACGAGAAGCAAGTTTGTTTACAGAATCAAGAACAGTAAGAGAAAACGAACTGTCATATAAGGCACAGCAATAGTCAACTTTAGGAAGAATAGAAGAAAGATAGATTCGGCGCCGAACTTCAGTTGGAGCTAATCCAAAGACACGATTCAATGCTCCAAGCTTGCACCGACAAGCAAGAGCAGTGTCCATGGCATGATCATTCCACCTAAGATCGTGCGAAACAAAAACACCAAGACAACGAACAGAAGACACAACAGAGAGAGGAGCACCATTGAGATACAATTGATTATAAACGTACGGAAAGAGGTTGAATGAGAAAGGAAGCCAACAACAATTAGAAACGTTTAAAGACATGAGATTGGAAGAAGACTAGTGAGAAACAGAGTTTACAGTTTTGAACATGAGAAAAACTGGAAGAATTAGTAGAGGAAAGAGGAACAATCAAAAAAACATCATCAGCAAATAGACAGATTTCACAATTATGTGGAAGTGACAGAGGCGGATCGTTAATAAAAATAAGAAATAAAAGAGGCCCAAGTACACTGCCTTGAGGAACACTAGAAGAAACAGGAGAAGAAGAGACAGAATCATTCACACGCGCACACTGAGAACGGTTCGAAAGATAAGAAGATAGAAGAGACAACAAAGAATCATACACACCACAACGAGAAAGTTTTTCTAACAAGAGAGAATGAGAAACAGAGTTAAATGCTTCAGAAAAATCAAAAGATACACCAATACACTTTATACCAGCATTCCAAAAGTTAAAGACGGTTGAAGATAAAAACAACAAAGCATCCGGAGTAGAATGTTTAGGACGAAAATCGAACTGTTTGTTTACAAAAAAAGAGTATTTAGAGAGATGAGAAACAATAAAATTATAAATTAGACATTCAACAACTTTAGAAACAATAGAAAGAAGTGAAATAGGGCGATAATTAGAAATATCAGCAAGAACGCCTTTTTTATGAATAGGTACAACGAATGCAGTTTTCCATAAAGTTGGAAAATTGCTAGTAGAATAGACACAGATGAAAAATGAAGTGAAGGTGAGACGAGAGAATGTCAGCACAAGAAGAGAGGAAGGAAGAAAGAATTCCATCAATACCAACAGTAGACTTTTCATCCAATTTCTGAAGTAAAGCTCAACGTCTCGTATGGAGAAGTCGAGGTGTTTATCCATCGTTGGCAAGTCTGGAGTGGTAGAGGGAGGAATTTGCCCCTGAAGAGAAGAATAACAAGAGAGTACGAACTAGCACCAGTGGGACGAATCTACGGATGGCATCGTTTACGTACTTAGTCCAAATGTGGACGGCCGTATCAGCATCGGTAGCCGTATAAAGGCCATGAGGTATAAGAGAAAGAAAACACCGTAGTTCAGACCACTGGGCTTTTTTAAAGTCATAACGATAAGAAGTAGAAGGAGAAAGAGGTTGAACAGGTACATCAAAAGTAGCAGATAAACAAAAATGAGGAGAACAGCCAACAGGGGGAAAAGAAGAGAAAGAAACATTGTTCCAGGAAGAAGGATAAAAGATATAGTCAATACACGTATTAGAAGTAGTAGTGACAGAAAAATCAACAAGAGAACACAGAAAAGAGCTAGAGAGACTTTGAACATTGTACATTTCGGAAGACACATGAAAGTTGAGATTAAGATCAGCACACAACAGTAGGTTAGAAGAGATAGAGGAATAGTTAGAAACAAAAGTATGGAGAATATCAAGAAAGAAATCAACAGAAACAGATTGCAAACGGTAACAATTACATAAAAGAAAATCAACAGAAGGAGACTGTACAAGTAATATAAAAGCTTCAATAATATCAGAAGAAGCGAGT